TACATGCATATAGTGAACAGTACATTATATTAAAAAATGATTTACTGCCATTTTTCTAACAAGTAAAATAGGAAGAAATGACCCAAGTTTTGAGGTAACATATTGTTGGTTACAATGGACGCGTGACCTATAGGTGAAGAGAAAACAATGAGTTCTTTGAGCTTGCGGGAAGTTAACGCGTGACATTCCACGTCACGTTCGCGGATAAACTTTTCTTAAGAAAGAATAATACGTCTAGCCGCATAAAGGACTTATGGATCGGAGATGATTAATAGCCGAGGGTGGTTGGAAGCATCCTTTGAACTTCCGACATAAAATAAAAGTTGAACGAAATTTTCCGATATGAAAGCATAACTTCTTTGAGAGCCCACCGGGAAAGAATTCTAAGTGCATTATCCTGTAGATACGAAAGAGATAAAACGGAAAAACTAATATAAAGTGCAAACTCTCCATTTTTCTTTATTTTTATCAACGTTCATTCGTCTTTCATGTTCCATCACTCTCATTTTTCATTTTCGTTCCGATGCTCTTGTAAAAGGCGTTTTTCACGCTGTTCCAACCGCGGGTGTGCCTCTCGTTGTACGAATTCCCTCGAATCGTATTCGACTAAACCCATCGGCGAACTTGTTCCATCCACACTGCGCGTATTTGCAGCGGGCGAACGCGCGTGTAAAACGACCAGACATTGTGCTGCATCAGGGAAGCCAATGATTATTTGAACTTTGCGGGAGTTTCGTGACAGCGAAAGGTATCAACGACTACGATCACGTGTTGCCTGTCGTATGATAACACAAAGGGAGCTTTGCATTCCCTGTTAAATACGGCATCGGTTCAAATAATGGTTGTTTAAATAATAAAAGTTCCACTGCATTTTGATGTTATCCAGAGATAGAAAGCTGGAGATCTTATAAGTAAAGTAGATATGAAAGATATTGAAAGTACGTCTTGAAAGAAACCGTAGGCCGACCATTTCAATCCCTCAAAAACGGAAAGTAGCCCGGGCATGTCGTGGAAAATCGTTCCACTGGAAAATGTGGAGCGGCCACCATTAAGGAGATTAACGAAGTCGTTCCGTTTCGATAAGCCTCTGGATCAAGGTCGGGCATCGATCGCCGTGACATTGCGGGATCGACGGGCTGATTCCATCCCGATTTTCCATGCCGACGTTACGGCGCGACGCGATCCGATGCGGCGTGACCACCACCACCTTGATGTATATTCATAGTTTCTGTCCTATCGCCAACGCTCTGTTAATAACGCGCGTTAACTTTAGTCCCGTGGCGAGTGCCAAAAATAATAAGTTTCGAATCGACCACGTGTAAATAATACCTGATCGTTCGTTACAGAAACTTTTCTTTCGCTATCATACAAAGAAATGTAGAAATTGAAATAATGCTAATTGCTATTCGTCCAAATTGCTTTTATCCGATTTATTTAAATAAATTAAATTAAACCGTGATTAATCGTTAAATTAAAATGTCTTGACTCATAGAATTTATAATTATGAAAATAATTTGTTGTCAGAGAAATTAAAAGTATAAATTGAGATAAAGTTAATATTATATGAATGTCAGTAGTTTCAATTGATGTTAAGAGAGAAAAGATAACAAGTGATTGTGGAACGCGAGAATTGCAAGAAACACGAAGGCGAAACGCGTTCAAGGCTGTTCAGCTAATTACAAATAAGGGCGTTGCTCGTTAGAGGCTCGCAGTAGAATTACGGCAGTAGTCAAACCGACAGTGCAGGCCGACGTTTCTTCGCTGTGCGAGATGATACTTTATCCTGCACGTGAATAGAACTAATCAGACATTAACGACTACGAAATTCTTCCCTGAAATGTTACTTTTTAATCCACATAAATAAATGAAAAAGGAAGCAATTTTATTTGAACTAAATAAAAACGAATGGAAAATATGTTGCTGTATATTTNTAATGAATATCACAGAAGTGTTGGATGAAAATCCTGGAAGTTTATTTATTATCGATCCTCAACCGCAACTATTTTACTATAAATGCAAGAACTACTGCAAACACGACGCAACAAGCAGGCACCGCCGCAATCGTTCTCGGCGTTCATCGGAGGAATCTAATGTTTACGCCAACAAAACATGATCAGATGCGTGATGTGGTACAAGTCAGTGCCAAATGCTCGTCGAGAAAAATATTGCCTAGCGATACAACATGCGATATTTAATCCGAACTGTCTTAAACCAAACCTGACGCAAGATGTTCGCTCAGTAGATTTTAGATTATCGTTTTTAATATAAATTCACGTAATATATTTTTAAATTGCACAATCTGTTATCAATTTTATATAATTTTAGATTTAAAGATGTAAATTGGTTAATTTTTAATAACGATTCACATATTTTTGATTTCTCCACAAACATTCAAAGTTTGAAGACTTGAGAAAAAACAATAATTAACACACCATTTTTCTTAATAGTTTCGATGAATTCACTTCACAGCCAGATTTCTGCCTTTCGTGAGGTGCGGACGTTCGTACGCGAGGCAGCTTCGAGCATTCTTTAAATATTATTTACCTGGGTGACTCGAGCGATGAAAGTGGCGCGAAACAGCGGCAGTAGGTGGTAAAATAGTAGTCGGTGGGGCGAACGTAATCGGGCTTGGTCAGCGTCGAGACGATTCGTGCAGGCGGTTCAGTGCTAGGCTGTCGGTCGCGTGGCGAACCTACCCCTCACTTTGACCGAGTCGTTCGTCGAGGACACGTGGTAGCACGCCGGGATCGATCGATCCGATCCATTCTTTTCGTAATCCGACACCGTGTGTATGGGAAGAATCACGGTGACCGAGAGATAACGAACGCCTCTGGTCGGCTGAGACCTTGAATTCGCTGCGCGACACACCAACCCTTTCGCGTCACCCCGTGAATATTTCAATAGCGTATCGATCTAGCGCATAGATAGAGCAATACGCCGTTTCGCGTGCGGTGAAATTTTTCCAACGAATTTCGATTCATCCTGTTCCATTTGCCTGGTAATTAGATCGTCTTGAGTGACAGTAGTAGATCCGAAGAACATGCGTGTCTCGCAATTACACCTCTGTGCGTAGTGACTTCACCGATTTGTCGTGCTCCATCGCTCTCCGACCACTTAGCGAGCTAATCATCAGGTACCACCGTCGTCAGGACACACAAAACGTACACACGCATCGCGAGTTAATCGTTGTCTATGTGTTTGTGAATTATTGTGCTGTGGATAAACGGTGCTATAATCGTTCTCTGTCCGGCTGTCCGCAGACTGCAGTGGAATAGCTGCGTACCTGGACAGCCCCCCTCCGAGTCTCCTTGAAACCCACGGATATAATGTGCACATACATTGAACTCGGAAGTTTTCTAATTGACTACAAACGTTTTGCTTGAATTCCGGAAAGGCACTGCCGGCTGCCACCTTCCGGATTAATAATTGTCCATGTCACCTCACGTTTATAGATCGTTACAAGCACTAAACGTGTCCGAATCATGTTCATTCAATTAATCACGGAATTAAGTTTGGTGTCGTTTTCGGATTAAGTATAACAATGACTCGGTCGTAACAAATCAAGGTGAATCTTGTACAGTTGTTTCTACGCTTCGCTCTGTATTTTTGAGGTAGCAGTAGTGTTAGCCAGTTCTCACCAAAACTAATTTATCATTGCGCTAAGTGTAATTTGTTATCGTCCACCGTAGCCGATAACTGTTGCTTGTTGTTTTTGCTTTCCATGTTCGTGTTCTGCGCAGGAGGCCCGGTGTTTTTTGCTGACAGACGAACGAAAGCAGCCGAAGGTGGCCGTTTAATTGAACCGCGTAACGAGCAGCGAACGGGTTTTTGCCGGGAGCGAAGCTTCGGGCTCTAATTCATTTTTTTTTTTCTCCTACGAAAGACGCGATTCGATTTGCCTTGTTAATTACAAAGAAGACACTGTCGCGTGCAGATCGGTTTGGAAAATTTATGCTCGGAGTTCCACCGTGTGGAACCTTGTCTCTCTCATGCCTGACGCGATGCTCGTTAATTCTGTCGCTGGCTGAACGGAGCACGTATCAGCATTCTCGTTCGTGCATTCGAACGTTCCTCCTTTGTGCAGGCCAGTTGGCAATGTTAGACGCGTTCGTCGTTTCGTACGCGAAGAATGCACGGTTTCTTGGAAGAGACGTTCCTTTGGTACCACTTGACTTTGCTTCGTTTTCGTTGGGAAACTGACAAATGGATAAATTCGACGAAATTCTTTGAAGTGACAAATTTCCTTTTATGTAAAAAAGTCCCCGGATATTTAATCCCTTATTTGAACGAAATTTTATACGTCTTTTTATTTGGCTAGCTATTTCTCATAATCTGGATTTGCCAATTGCAAAATCAGACATTGACCTATCAAAAAGTGGACGTTGATGAACATTAAGGAACAGTGCGATAAGGAATTCGATGATTCACGGTAGCGTAATTATTCAAGGCATAGGAGTAGATCGAACTTGAGGCCATCGCAGTCGATGTTCCAGGTCGACCGGTGGGTGTATCGAGCCCCCTTGAACGTGTCCGTGGTTCAGCCGGCTCTGCGCCGTAAACAGCGAACGCTGCCGTGACAAGACAGTCGCTGGGGCTGCGGCAGATCAATCGACGAACTCGTCTATTACTTGGTTTCGTTCGGGCATAACAGTCCTTCGACGCAGTGTCGAGATCGTCACGAAATCGTGATCGGTGAACGCGTGACGCGACTCCGTTCCGACGTGCAACAAGACGCATCGAGCGTGATTAAACGACCTTCGAGAATCCATAGTCGTTGGAATTTTAATACAAAAGTTTTCGGAATTCAGTGTGTCAGAACGGTGTTAAGAAATTGTTAGAAAGTTGCTGTTTATAGTTAGTTATAGTTAATCGAGTGACGACGGTGAGGAAACAGTTGTTCGATCGAAGAGTTCGCGAAATGCGTAAACCCGAGGAGTTTGCAGACTTTGGATTTTAATGCAAAATTTACGATTCATGGTAGTCAATACTGGCTGCAATATACGCACATATACTTCTTGATATTTTATACAGTTTCACGAATAACATATCTCGTTTATGTTATCTAGTTTCTTAATAAATACATAAAATCTGCGATCTATTTAAAAGCGTCACAGCTTATAATAACTAGAAGTATACTAAAGAATAATTGGCAGAAAAATCGTAGGAAACCAGTGAACAGTTTCGATAATCGTTTAACTAACAATGGAAAGGAATCGTGATTGAGTTCAATAATGACAGGCTATGCATCTTTATTAGAACGATAAATGAAGATCTGTGATTCCCGCGTGACACGCGATCCGTCATTTTCCGAGGTGTAATTATAATCTCAGACCTTGAGGCTGTTGGCGAGCCAAGCTGAGCGTAGTTAGATCGTCTTCGAACCGTGGGGCGGTTCTAAACCGTTTGTACCGAGCTCTCTCATTGTATAAATGATCTCATCGCACCCGGCTACATTATTACAGTTGTACGTTCTGCCGTGCATTTTTCACTGCGGTCGTTGGAAGGAGGACTGGGAGAGGCTAGTTTGCAGGTGCAATCGCGATGGTAGCTCGCCAAGTGGACAGGAAAAGAGGCCGGGGAAGTTAGTTACCTTGAAGCCGGCGAACCGACGACGCCCAGGCCTTTGATTCAATCGAACCTCGTGGAGAACATAAATACACATCGTAACTGTGCTTCTTTTCGAACTTCGACGAAAGTTTGCCTGTTTACGGAAACTAGAGATGTACAATGACAAGGATATTTTTAAAAACGAGCAAAAGAAGGCTGAAAATCTTAGTTGTTCAAGTTTCTATTGGCTGGAACTTCGAGCGTTTCACGCGATGGTAAACAAAATTCATTCTAACTCAAAGCTGAAGAGTTCTTTCACCCTTAAAAAGCAAGGAGACTAAACGTTCAAATCGTCGGAAACTCTCTTAACCCGTTCTTGATTAACAGATAAAGTTGATCGTATTTAAAATCGAAACAGTGACGAAATTGTTATTCTCGCTTCGTAAGTGGAACCGTTGATCCCGCGAATGAAGTTCGACGGCAGGGGTTCATCAGCCCGTCGAAAGACTATCGATCGAAGTTACGAAATTTCTTATCCCGGACTCGAATTATCTTCCAACGAAAATCGCTAGTGAACCCGTCTGACGGTAGAGACAAAAAGCCAGCGAGAGAGAAAAGTTGCGACAAGCTGCCTAGGGACGCTTTCGTGATCGTCGAGCACCACCACCACCGGCGCGCTGCTTCTTGTTCCGTAAACTGTTTAAAACCATCATCCTCGAGGCTTGTCGAAACAAACCGATCGTTATCACACACTGCGGTGAAAAATAAACCAGACACATCGTTCGTGAACGTCGACGTTTCTTTCCTGTACGTTTCGTACCCGTACACTTCACCTTGTCAGTCATGAATCTTATGTTCCGCAAGAACTTCTCCGAGAGGGGATTCGGTGGTGGTGGAGGAGGAGGCGGCGGCGGCGGCGGTGGATTGGAGGGTCGGTCTACCCTCGGGACCGCACACGGACCGGGAAGTTGGGGTTACTCGGGGTCTCGTTTCGGCGTGTTGCGCGGCCAGTCGATTGTCGGGAACCGCGCGCCGGTCAGACGAAGCCGGGAGTTCGGCTACTTCCCGTCGATGGCCGATCACGAGCACCAGGGGTTCGGATACCGGACTCACCTGTTCTTCACCCCTCCGTCAGGAGGTGCGCTCGGTTCGCCGCCGGACGAGCCGACCGAGAGGCTGGGCCCGCCGCCCCGTCGGAATTCCGGGCCCCATGTGATCAAATGGGGCGGCGGAGGCAGTTCCGGGCAGACTGCCGGGAATGCGCAGGCGAGGAGGAAACAGGCCCAGGCACAGAAAGAGTCATCGGAACCGGCGACACCGACTACTGCGTCTAGACAGGTACGTGTATTTGGGAAATCGTAGCGATGATCGTGAGATGAATTTTTGAACATGTCTCTCTTCAACACTGAACCTACCATGCTGTGTCATTTTGTTAAACATGTAATTATTATTTAAGCTGGTACCAAACTAGAGTACTAGAAATAATAAATTGCATTCAAATGTAAAAATATATAAATTTAGTACATTAGTGTGCAAAAACTATCAGTAGTTTTAGTGTTAAGATCTCGACTTCATAAACATTGGCATCGATCCAGTAAGTCAGTCTTTCTAGAATAGTCAATTAATGTTTCTGAATGAATCAAGAGGTCATTTCAAGATCTAGCAGAGTATCACTACTTCTGAGCACAAGAATTTTCCACAAGATCTGATTGGAAACGACAAGTACAGCTGCGGCTTAAATGTCAGTTTAACCTCGGGTATTCCTCAAAGATGAAATTGACGCGCAGTCGGCGTGAAGGCCACATCCAAAGGATTGATGCACTTTACTTCGATGTGTGATCGTTCACTCGTATCTAATCAAATACTTCGGGTTCAGGTGTCGAGAATGTAGGTTGAACTTAATCAACCGCCTTTCCGACCGGATAAAATACGATCCTCGACGAAAGATCCGTTGTAGTCGAAAAAAGCCAATCGCGAAATCGACGCTCGTCGATTCTGTACACCGCGGGACAAACTATTCCAATTTCTCGATAGAGAAAACATTCGTCGCGGAGAAATCCGCGGAATCCTTACAAAACGAATATCGTGAGAATCGCAAATCTTGTTTCGCGATATTCACGTGTGTGATGAATCGGGGACACGATGCATACAGATAGAGTTATCGCGCTCGATTGGAGTTGTTGCTCATGTTCGGAGACAAGCCCGAAGTTCGCGTTCCGCATAATTCGTCACTTATGCCTGGTCCGAAATTCTCAATTGAATTCAACCCTTACGTCATTAAACGGGACAATGTCGTTAATGAATTACGCTTGGAATACAATCAAGTGTTCTATATTATATCGTATATGCATGCGTTATTGGCATCGTCAGAGAAAATCACGTTCACTTCGACCTGTTTTGTAAACAGTTGGGTCTAGTTCGATAGTTTGGCATCCTCGGACGCACTTCAACGTCTCTAGTATTCCGCGGTACTCGTTGAACAGGGAGTGGAGGCCAGTTCTCTTTCTAAAGGTCGATGGGCTGTGTTCTGTTGCAAATTACACAGTTGTAACCCGCAGTATCGACGAGTGGCTACTAGAAACACGACCGAACACTCCTGACGATATTTCAACAGGAAGTACGCATCCCGAGTTGGATGCAGGCGTTCACGTTTAGGTGTGACGTATACACATGCAACACACAGCATGATTTTCACGGGGCAGGCCGGAATCATGGGAGGAAACGTTGCACGGCTGTGTACGGAACGAACCTGCATAAACTTACACCTACGCTGACCGTAGCCGGCACGCAAACTCGCTATCTTATTGCAAACCAAGGCGGATTTCGCGACGTGCCATAAATTTTCTGCTAGTCGACTGGCTCTGTTCGATATCCTGCACTCATTCCGTGCCTCGATCGAACCTGGATTCCCTGATGGATCGCAGATAGTTGTCCGCTCGAGTGGACTTTTCAGACAACCCGAGGGACCGTTTTAGAAATCCAAAGTTTGTTCGAGTGTTGTACGGTTCATGGTAAAAGTGTTGGACAAAAAGGATGCGGTGTTTCTTGTTATTAAAATTATTGCGGAAGTTTGATATTAAGAAGATTTAAAGCAGAATATTTTCAGAATCAGAAAGAATATTTATTTAATGCACAGACTTTCGACTTTTTGATAGCTTCTATTTTTACGTTCATCATTATGTATTAAACAAATGGAAGTGAAACTAGAAGAATTAAGGATGTATTGGCTATACAGTCAATCCCAAAAGTTCATGTACCTTAGAAAAACGCATTTCCTATAATTAAAAATAGTGCATTTTTCTTCTAATTTCGATATTNGCGCTTTAATTGCGTGGCTCATTGTTTAGAAATAATTTCAATTACCGATGCCAGCACGTGTGCTCGAGAACGCTACGAATCGCTTCGCATTGTTCTACGATTACATGACGCAAGCTTTTAGAACCTTGCCATGTGTAAAAAAAAGTAGATAGAAGAAAGCGACGTCGAACTGTCTCGCAGAATTATTCGATATTCAAAGTACGGTTCATCTATATTCCTTTGAGGGTCGAATGAATTTTTTCTATTCGGGTCTCCACAGAAGTATTATGAGACGTCTTACATCAGTGCTCTCTGAAGACGTCGCCGTTATACTCGACGAAAATGTCGCGAGAGGTTACTGGCATTTTGCACGTTGCCATAAATCACGTCCCGAAGTCCGTTGCATGACGGAACCAGTGAACGGGGTAACGACAAAAGGAGCCGCGTTAACCTACATCCCCAAACAACAATGACAATCCGAAGCTTCACTCATTAGAATTGCTCTTTAATCTTATAGTTCATAAATAAATATGATTTTTAAATACTAAAAAAATTGATACGAAATACGTGCTATCTTCAAATGACCTCATAGTTGTACATACACGTTCCTATCAGTTTGTATGTAGAATAAATGAAAACTTCGTTTGAAACGAGGACAGGTACTGGTTTGTGGATAGAATTTTCAGAGGAGACGGACCAATCCTGTATGACAGTACCGAAATTTTGTTGTAGTTAATTATCTCAAATTGTATGGCGTTCATAGGTTTCCTTCAGCGGTAACCGCTCCGGCGCGTACACGCCTCTAGTGGTTTCCGGAAACAGCCCTCCCCGCGGTGAACCGATCTCCCTGGCCACCCTGGACCGCGACTGTTTCATCATTCCCCTCGCCTCTCTCGAACGCTTTTTACCGGCGGGTGTACCGGTAGGTCAAACGAAACTCTGTACAGCTTAATGCAATCGCATAATTTTCGCATAGCTTTCTTCCATACGACGACGCATTCAAATCTCGCTTTCCGTATGTACATTTACAAACTGTCTCGCCACTCTTTATTAACACACAGCGTAGCATGTGGCAACTGAATTTAGAACAGTATAATATAAATTTAACAATACGTTTGTCGAACGTCGATTTTGCACGTGACGTAACAATAAACTTAAAGAACAACCGTACCGATAAGATTTGTTCCTGAGTAGATTCAACGAGGCCCCATTGACGCTGGAATTATTTCACAGCCGATAACGTCTGCTAAATCGTTTCAACGTTCCGCACGAAGCAATGCTAATCAGGAATGCACCTGCTAAAACCAGAATGCTCGAGTTATTGGCCTTACAGTCTCGCTGCAAGCAGCAAAGACCTTGCTGGCCCGGCCTCAAACGCGTAAAAATAGACGACACAGAGTACAACGAAAGCCTCTAATGAATGACGTATTGCCGTAACGTAAGCAACGCGTTACCGTATTGTTTGGACTACCGAAAGAGTAACCATCTAACACGTCCGTATGCTTGTTTTTCCTAAGTCTACCAGATATTTTGTTTTAACTCACTAATGGACGGCGCGAAGGGAAACAGAATCGGAAGATTGTTCCGGGAGATGATTAACATATTTTTTTTCAATCACAGCTTGTTTCCAACTCGTTGCAGCACGCGCCTATAGCGGACAAGAAGAGACCCGGAAGTCCACTATCGGTCCTCGAGGTCGAGGACCCGAAACAATGTGTTCTAGCGCATTTCATGACCCCCCTGGAACCCCTGGATCCTCTGGTCGAGTCTCCGACGTCTCGGCCGTTGGTCCTTCAACGGGACACTGCAGCCGAACTGGTCGCCGAAATAGCGCCATCCGCTTCCCAGAGCATTCTTCTTACCAACATGGAGAAGAATAGTAAAGACGTTAATTTTCACAGAAATATAAACGAGGGACTGCGATCGACTATGATGCGTTGTCGATTTCAGCGGAATTCCCATTCATCACGTACTACCTGATAAACAAGCAGAACACGGATCCCGTCGATTTCTATAACGAGGTCCAATGCGCCGCTCTGAGGAAGTTCGATCCTCGGGACCTTCGATACGCGGCCAGCCACACACTGGATCTCTTCAACGAGGTGGCGACCATAGCGAGGCCGCCGTTGGAACCACCTGGCGTCAGACCACCGATTCCGTCCACCGGTTACATTGTCTCGATTTTCAAGGTGTTCGAAGGTGACGACGGCCTCAAATTCGAACAGAACTGGCTCTATTGGACCGGTACTGTATATTTTTTTAACTACTATCGTTCGAGTTTCATCGGTAACGAAAAGCAATGGAACTCGTTCAGATAGGAAACGTATTGCAAACTTTCAGGCGCCCGAATGATGTATCGATACTTGCCGAAATCGGTAGGTCTGAGGCGGATCACGTTGCACAAATCCATGTCGCAGGGCGACAAGATGTACCTATTGATCTGCGAGTGTTCGCAGCTGCAAGACAATCTATCCGCGGCGGCGATTCTGTTGCCCGCGTTGCGCGCACGTCTCTGCGGTTATACCGGTCTCTACAGGCCCTCGGTATGTTTCTGATTCCTCAGGAAACGCTGACAGCGCGGCAAGGTGCAACGGGACAGGGCCACGCGGGCTACGCTATGAGAGCCCTCCGAACACTTCCTGGAGAGAACGCATCATCCGGGACGATGCTGGCTCACGCCTCGCGTCGGTTTCTTCGTGTTGCACTCGTTACGACTAGAGCACGACTGCTGTTGCGTGGTTCTATCGAACAGGACATCCTCTAGTCGACTAAAATCTCTCGGTCTTCGGATAAGAGAATCGCGTTGATCAGCGGAACGGCAGAACCATTTACCTTAATGGGATGATGGTCGGTGTTAAGGAAGATGAGCTTTTCAGGGCTCGTTTCGTTCACCCACAAAAGCAGTTTTTACAATACTACAGAGGCATAACATACACTTTGATCGTTTCAAGAATTCTGCAAGTTTGATAAAGTTACTTATTTTCTTATATCGTAACGAGTTTCCGTGTGAATATAACGTCAGTTTATCGAGCCGTACTGCCGACGTTATTACGAATACCTGCAATTCCATGAAACGAGCCCTCTTTTTTTGTCAAAGCTCAACGGCTAGCCAGCAGGCGAAATCGGAGTTCGTACGCACGAGACATTGATCTGTCTGGTATCTGATTTCCGGTAAAAATGAGGAAATCAAGGGGATGAACTTTATCGTTAAAGGGGAAGCATATTCGTATACGCTTTAGGGAAATCTCGATGATAAATCTTGTACGCTTCGGGCTGCAGTCCCGTTTAGCTACGCCTCTGGCCAGTTTGTATTTTTCGACTTTACATACATGTATTTCATCCGGCGTTTTATGCGATCGTGAACACACGACTCGCATGTACATACATTGAACATAGAAATTTGCGAGGTACACTTTTATTACCGTATCGACGACTATCGATTAAATCGCTAACTACATATCATATATATATACTCGTGAAACTGTGATATTCGAACGACTACCGCATATATCACAACGAACGCAGCGAAAGACTTCATCATAAGTAAGAAGAAACGAAGTGTAAGAGGTAATCATTGAAAATGCTACACAATCTTTTGCGAGATCAGTTAGGCGAAGTAAAGAAGAACTCGAGACGGTAGCGGCTCCTCGGAACGGAGGGCACTTTGTAAACATAATCTCCAGATCTTTTATTAATTACATTCGCAGGTTTGATATTACATATCATTCCCTGGATTATTAATCGATACTCGCGGGCTTTGATTGTAAACGGGCAGGATCTAACGAATGAGTTACGGCTTCGAAACACGAACAACGAATCGTTTGTTCATTTTTTGAATTTGTATCCTTGTTCGTTACTTTGTTTCACACCGGTGGGAGGGTAGATCTTCGGCGTCTTCTTTTTCGTACGCCGGAAGATGCGAGAGAGACGGGGAATGCTTAAACCAGATCTTTCTTAGGTGCCCGTAGAAATTTTAGAGTGAGGACGCGTAGCACGATTCGGCAATGTAGTACAAAGAAATAAGAAAAACCAGGAAAACATAAATAAAAACGTATAGTCAATATACGCTTGTTGCATACAGACAATAGCTAGGACGATTGCGCAGGCGCGATCAATTAAACGTAGATTTTTAAGGATCTAACGGCGTATTATTTATTTAAGATACGTCCCTTCGCGCTCGCTGAGATGAAATTGTGGATCAAGATGAACCCCTTTATGTATTAAGACGAACGAACAAAGCATACGAGAAACTCGCGATTTTACTGTGATCCGCATGTGTATCGCGACCAATGTAAAACACGATACACGCGTTTAAAAAACAAAAGAGAAAAATAAATACGTGTGAGCGTAATTGAGCGAACGGTTCAAAGAACGGTGCGCCTGATTTGATTATACATAACGTAAGACGTGATTAGTTTAGGCAAAATCCTGTTAATCCTTCAATCGCGGTGCCTCTGTAATCAAAAATTGAATCAATCAAACACTGTGCTTAATATTCGCAGCGCGGTCGAAGGATTAAAGTAACGATTGTTCGCCTGCACAAGTTTGTTTACGAGAATACAATTTGTTCCGCGTGGGATTCAACGCCTTTCCAAGATGACTCGACGATCGTACCAGAGAATCGAGTTGTGCCTGCGATCGCGGGGATGAAACTCTTGTTTCATCGGAGGATCTGACATTGTACGACACTTCGAAAATTATCATAGGATTTATTATATCATGTACAACGAATAATAACGAAATAATAATAAATCACTTCTAATATTAACATCTTACAGACCGTGTTATCACATGAATTCCCCTTATTAGTTATTATTTCCACTAATTCACTCCCTTGGTCCTCTAAATCTGCGTCTTCCGTCAATCTAAAAACAAAATTCAATTGTTATGTTTATTGTACGTCCTTCATTATCGGTGCACAGTTAATAAAATGTAATAAAACAGAAAGTGTAGTTTAGAATAACGCATTGATTAATCGTAAGAACGATCCTGATTTGATATTAGCCTTTTTAATAAAATTTTGCTAATCATACTTACGATTGAGTGTTTGCATTCGAAAAACGATACATACAATGCGTAGCATTCTTCAGGGACAGACGGATCTTTGGACTTGAGACACTCTCTAGGTGTCCGCCTTTGCTGAAATAAAAGAATCGCGTATAAAATTTTATTTCACTCCCAGACCAATCGAAAATTTCCCAACGTACTAGAAGAAATAGATTAGAGTGAGACACTGCAGTTTAACCACTCACAATTCGACAACAGTCGGTCTGTAACAAACACATTTTTAAATTCGCACGTAAATGAGCGCATCTGCTCTTGTCCTTTAACGTTTCACCTTCTTCTTCATATCGCATCATTTTGAGGAGTAATTCGAATTTTACCACGCACAATTCGACGTATACGCATTCGCTGTTCATAGAATTTTGTAATAGAAACTCTAACCTTTACTCGTCGTCGTCGTGTAGATGCACGCGTTTTCTACGTGTACAGTACGCATGTTCCGTGATGAAAGATGTTTCGTTCCCATCCATGATCGACACAGGATTTAGATAATGATTCCTGATTGAAATGTCATTCACACTCGAGGGACACGTATGACGAATGATAAGTGGTATCGAGGTGAATTTACGGCCGACGAGGAAGCATGAGGTAATTGACACTGATAATCTGATTGCTTGTCAATGGTGATACAGCTTGAAAATGTACGTCTAATTAACTATCACGTATCAGTACAGTAATTACTAAATTCTTTCTTGTTCGTCCTTCCATCAAATCTTTGTATACAGAAAAAAAGGGGATTTTATTTAACAGAAAAATGGTTTATCATCGCGGGACTCAGAGGGACGGTTCCCCGCATTATGTTTTTCTATATTCCGATGACGAAAATAGCGGGGATGAAGATTCTATCCCCCTGCAGCAACGTGACAAACCTGCATCATCGCCACGAAAAATAGAGGTGATAAATGTACCACTGAAAGCGGAGGATACTCTGCAAGCATTGGCCCTACGATACAGATGCACGGTAATGAAACAGGTAAAAGGATAATATGCAGTAAACTGCAGTGAGAATTTATATTTACAGATTTCTGAATTGAAGAGGATTAACAAGATTCACAAAGAAAATGAGATTCATGCAAGAAGGTTCATCAGAGTGCCTGTTCAGCCGTTCTCTTTATTGACTGAAACTTTAGAGCAGAATCAGAGTGAACAGCAAGACGAGAATGAAGTAAGTATATCCACTGCCAATGAAGAGAAGGGAACTGAGAGAAACCCTGTCGTGGCTGAGTTGCCAAATTCAGAAATTAATGCCATCATATTGAATTCCGTTTGTGAACCTTTGTCATCTTACAATAATGTTAATACTATGGAAATTGCTAGTTCAGAAAACGACCAGTTGATTCCTCAAGTAGAAAGTAACAGGGAGAATACTAATTTAACAGACACATTTAAATGTTCTGGTGATGACTGTGGAATATCCTGGACACAGCTCCTTGGATTTTCCTTATTGTTAGGCTTTGCTGGACCTATTATTATTATATATATACTCTATGCGGTAGATTTCTCCTCTAAGAATCACTCGACTGCTGATCATTAAGTAATTTACTTTTCAACAAAAGGATGTTCACTCGAAGTACAATTTACCATGTTTACAAGTTTTGTAAAAATTTATATGTTCTTCACTAAAAGCGAAATTACGTAATAAGTAAATTTTAGAATCTTACTCGACATGCCAATTGCATTGTATGCACTTGGCGTAGACATGATATTTAACGAATGATATGGAAATACTATTTTATAAATGAGCTATGTTTTTTAATCGAAAGATTAATTGTATAGCACGATACAGTGCCTTTGTGATTATCTGTTTAATACAGTATTGATCTAGAAGTCTCGCTTGCGCATGCTATTGCATGTGCGTTTTTGAATTTCGGTGAATTTTGCCGAATGTAGTATGAACTCATAAACGCAGGGATCGCCAAAGATGAGCGTTAATTGGCAAGGAAGTTGTGTATAAAGTTTTAAGTACAAAGGCAGAAGAGTGTACATAAATTATATATATGTTCTTACGTTCTGACAGTATCATGCAGGCTTGTGATAGACATCATTTTTGTTTCTACTTTGTACTAACAGTATCGAAAGAAAACATATTAATATTATGTTTACGATTGATTTGTATCTCGTGTTAATATCGTATTATTTATTAGACTAGAATAGACGATTTCTCTTTTTCCTATGACAATAAGAATTAAGTAATTAAGTCATTTTAAGATTGTGTAAAACATGCTTTTGATATGATCTGACTGTTTTCCTTGTTAAAATTTGTAAAAATATATTTTTTAACACAAATTTATAATCTACTTTCTGTCCTTCGCAATACACGTATGATCGGAAGAACTGTGGGTGTTAGGTTTTCAAAGTAAAAACATTTAGGTATCTAGAAATTTTTTTTATTTGTCAACTTGCGATGTAAGATACAAATCAAGATGGTAATTAACATCTTTCCCTTTTCCGCTCACAGCAGCCTCCATTCCTTCTGTAACATAGAAGAAATTATGATCAAACAATGAACTTCCTTCCTATGAAAGTATATAAAAATCATATTTTTTAAATATTCAGGTCTACGATTTAATGTCTTTCACTCTAAATAATTCAGAAGACCGTCGTTAGTATCATCATTCAACTTGCAATTAACTTAATAAAATGGAACAGGTTTATTTACTCACCCCAAGCCGTGGCTTTTGTGATCTTAGAACTTCTTGAAACTCTTCTTCGATCCAGTTCCTTTGGAGACCTTCAAAACATTAAATCTGACCGTTTTACTGAGTGGTCTACACTCTCCAATAGTGACTACATCACCGATCTCCACATCCCTGGAAGAGATAGTAACAATGAATACCAGAAGAATTTCATTTTTACAGTAAACGTAGCATTAAATTTCTTTTCAGTAGACGAATAAACTACTTCAAATTATAATTCAGAAGACCGTCGTCAATATCATCATTCTAATAATTCTTTGCATTTATAAATGCTCTCTGGTCTCATTGCATGGATCACACGTAAATGTATACAAACCTGAAGCAGGGACTCAGGTGAACACTCATGTTACGATGACGCTTCTCGAAACGATTATATTTTCTAATATAATGAAGATAATCCCTACGAATAACAATAGTCCTCTGCATTTTCATCTTTTGCACTACTCCAGTGAGAATGCGTCCTCTTATAGAAATGTTGCCAGTGAATGGGCATTTTTTGTCAATGTAGGTTCCTTCCAGAGCCTAGAAAATTAATATAAAACAAAAGATCACATCATTTCATCGATTATAATTCAGATTTATCAATTCTCCTCGTATAATACTTACCTCGCGGGGTGTTTTGAAGCCGAGACCTACATTGCGGCTGTACCTCATAGGCTTCCGCCTTTTGGGGCCCAGACCTTTCTTTCGGTTAAGAAAGATCGTGGGCTGTTTCTGGAACGCACGCTCAGTCTGAAAAATAGAAAGTTCATTTGAATAGAGATTCAATATCTGTTTATATGACATTTCGTTTAAGTATCGAGTGCATTCGCGTGGCCACGTGCAGCATACACATCACAATGCATAACCTTTTCGTGATAATTTGAATCGATTCTTTTTTATCCATTATTAAATTTGCAAATCGAGATTCTTGCGCGGATAATAATATTTAATAAATGATTAACTTAAGCGTGGAAATATGTGTATATTGATGTAGTTGACGAAAACGTACCTGATCAGCCATTTTGCTGTACTGAAAGGAAAGACCGATCGGAAGCAGGAGGATGACCAACCTTACTTATTCTCTTACGTCTCTCACGCGTACCAATGTCAATTGGACGGTGAAGTTAGCTGTGGTTCGTCGCATTTGAAGCGCGTATCGTGCGTTGGATTGTGTTTAGAATTTATAAGTTTAATCACCAAATCTCGGTTGCAAGCAGTCTCATTCTTTCTTTAATGGTTAATAATTTACTTTGTGCAATAATAAACAGTAGACGCGCTGCATAAAGGTCTCAATTCAGTGAATAATTGATGTAAATGACTACATGGTTGGAGGCTGACTTTCTTTTTGGTGATTGTGCATGACTTTGAAGATTATTCAATTTGTTCGAGCTGTTGTGTACACGGTTTTGGAGCCCTACATCGGATTTTAGTTCTCTGCATCACGAGTGCTGTAAGTAATCACGTTTTTTCGTATTTGTGATAGCCAAACAGTAGTACGACAACTATAGCTTGTAAGTTGCAAGCAGTATTATATTTTGGAGCATGAATTGAATTGGAAACTTTATATTTAGGTTAATTTGATATTGCATGATCAATTTATCGTATTATTATGTTTATTTCCAATAAGTATCCCTCATCCCCCGGTGCTTTTATTTTTTTCTTTCGTGCAATTCTATCGTGTGCGTTAGATGGCAGCTCTATTCTGTTCAGAAGTGAAATTAGAAGACAAAGTCAGAAAAGCAGAATTAAGAGTTTTTACCTGATATAAATGATAGTGATAAGTATGCAAATTCAAACATGAACAGATTATTATGTACTTGTAAGGAGTTAGAGTAGTCACTTGACTTTTTTTAACATTTGTCGCTAAATTTTTTATACTTTTTGCTCTGTTTTCTAATAGTCCATGTTAATGTACTCGCGTTTCCAACAATTGCCTTGCTTTCTACGTTTATCTCTTCTTCCTTTTTAAACGATACGAGATTCCTGAAGCTAATTATCAAGCAATCATTATTGTGCACGAGTGAATCGAAAGCGCACGAGATGCGTTCTTCATCCATTACATCCAGGGTCTATAAAATCTTACGATATTTGTTTGTAAAGCATCCCCGTATAATTCTAGCCGATAACTGTTCTTAACGAGGATCTTCCGTAGACGTAATCGGTTCGCGTTAAAATTTCATAGAATTATATTAAGAAGTTACAAAATAATGAAATAGAAATTGGGCCACGAAGAATTAGAAACTATTTTTGAATAAGACATTACGTCATATGTTGTAACGTCGCCTATTATATGTCACCCGCAGTGTTAAAACGAATTCAAGGACACCTCATTTGTCAAAATCGACCCAGCTGTCTGAGATCTAGAATGAAACTAATGAACACTAACACGTTTATTTAAACAGACACGTGAGAAACGTAATTACCCTCCTTTTGGTTTAGCTGTAGTTAAGTAAAAACTCGAGCGATATAATATTGCGTGGGATGCACACTTATCCATAGCAATTTCAGTTCGCCGTCGGTTTTCTTCGACTTTACTTTTTAAAGACCTTGATGAACATTCTTCGTCACACTCACCCGAGGTGAACAATCACCTCTTTTTATCATTGCTGGCAAGGATACTGTCGACGTACGCATTCAGTTACATATACATTACGTTTCTTTTTTCGTATCTTTATTAACAATTCGACCGGAAAAAGTGGCTGGTTGCTAGATTGGAGAACGGAATCGCGAGCTTCTATTCTCATTTATCGCGTTACACGTCGTTGCCATTGTGGGAAACAATTGCGGTGTCTTTCCTTAGTCTCTCTCTGCATATTGTCACGCTTTCGTTCATCGGTTACGGCTACACCTTAGTTACTTCCACGGATATCGGTGAACGGCGAACCGCAATCGGACTAATTTTCCACTCCCGTTTCCATTTCATAGCGATTGCCGAGCCTCGTTTAGCGACCCCTAAACAATGGAGATAATATATACATTTCATTGCTGGCCCAATTACACTCGGCTCGCAGTATCGTAAAACGAATATGAAATAGACCGGTCAATTTTCTAAGACCGTTTCTCCCTAAATTATGCGAGTCCAATTAGTTTCTCTGCAGAAATTGAAAGTCCGAGGGATAATGAATCGAGAGGCGTCGCATAGGAGGCTTCGACTACTTCTTAGCTTTTTTTTTGCGCCACGTGAAAGGGGTTCGGGAGACGCTTAATCGAGTATAGAATGTAACGGATCGAGAATGACTCTCGTAGCGTGGCTAACAAATTGATTATCCTTGAACCGCGTCCCGTACACATCCAGACAGCAACCGCGGAGTGTATTATTAAGCGGCAGAAGAATTCTACGAACTTCCGCGCTTCTGTAACGAATATAACAGCCACATTACACGTTGCCGTGTTTCGACGTATGCTCGTTACTCACGATTGCCATTCAATCGAACGATAATCAATCTACCCGGCTAGCCACGGGTCTTTTCAAATCCACAGGCGTAGACGATCGTCTGTTGGCAACCTATCGAACCTTGAAATTAGCCGATCGTCTCTACGAATGCGAAAAACTATCAAAGAAATCTTAATCCCTCTCTTTCCTTTTTCAATCGTATGCATTCTCAGGGGTGTGCCAACATTCGCGAAGCCTGAGACCTGTTCCACAGATTTTGTACTTAACTTTCACACGAAGTCGTTGTTAACTCAGCGAAGACACAGTCTGTTCTTTGATGAAACATTCGAGTGGCTCCAAACGGTACACCGTTTGCCGAACATTATGTAACGGCTTTGTCGATTTAAGGAGTCTCTCGGTCGTATCGCATCATCTACGAATGCCGGCTGTCTTTCAAACCTGACGATCCGACGAACGTGTCCGGCGTGTAAATAAAACGTGATCCTCGCATAAATCTTCGTCACCTGTATGACGAAATAGTTTCCGAATGTTTTGAGCTACGTTGGCATTGACCTGTCTTTTGAAAACGTTGCATCGTTCTTCCCGGAAACGTTTTAACAATATTTCTGCTAAAATTCCATCAACGGACACGGTGTCCTTGGTAGTGGTTTCGCCATAAAAGACCATCAGATTAAAACCGACGGCGTGGACTCGAGCAGGAGTTTCCTTATGGTAAAAGTAGATACCGTACATGTTGAACGATAGTCAAACTAGTTGTATCTAGAAAAAAATCAGCGAATTCTCAGTGAGTTCTACCCACGAGCATACAAGACGGTTTCGAGACCAATTAATCTTTCGTTGTATCGATGGAAAATCCGTCGGGCATTCGGAAAACCGATAAACGGCCCGGTTACGTAGTTCATTTATCGCGAACCAGCTCGCGTACATAGGTACTATGACCGATTAGATCTCGATACGAGGCTTAATTGCGAGTAGGTCCCAGGACGAGGAGGAGGAAGTTCGCGTGCGTGTTGCCCGGCGGAAAAGAACCGCGGTTCCCGTTCGGCTATCGAATCGGCCTCACGTAAGCAAACTTAATTAAATAAAAGCTGCGTTTCGTATTAGCGGACGGAACCCGCGCCCCGTGCGCGTATCGCGGGCGGTACGTACCGCGTGAGTTATCTATCGGAGTTACGCGGCTACGCTCGAACCGAAATGAACGTTTCTAACTTTAACGATCCGTATTTCATCCGTTTCTAATTTGTACGTTAGCAGGCCCGGCCCGAACCGGCCCGGCACGTATCATTTGCCGCCACTTAATAGTCAGCGCGTTCCATCAATCTCCCCGATAATTAGTAGTTCGTATAATGACAGAAACCATTAGCTTTACGGTCACGCTGCGCGGTGCACGCCCGGTGCAAAACGTCGATAATACTACGCGCTATTTTAGCTTTCCTTTTCTCCGTTTCGAAGCTCGGATATTCATTCCTATACGCGTCGGATAATTCATGTACCTGGGTTTTTATCGCGGGCATCGCGCTTCCGGGTTGACGTCACGGTTCGATATGCAATCTGTAAAAAGAGGAACGATCCTCGGCTGGCTACACGGGGGTCAGCCTGTCCGATTCTGCCCGATCGTTGATCTTGAAACCGACCGTTGTTTTAAGATAAGCCCAGATTTTCCGAGGGTATTCAATCAAGCTTTCTCTGCTAGAACCATCGACGGAGAAAGTAAATGCATAGAGATCACGGTGGATCACGTAACACGGTAAAGATAGCCCAAAGCGAAATGATCTGTGCACGGTGGTCTTATATAAATTTGTTAAAAGGCGTGTACTAAAGCGAAAGCTCGGGTTCTTATCCGAAGTCTATCACGCGTTCTACGAGCGGCCGACTAAAAAGGGGTGTGTTAATAAGGAAAAAGGAACAACGGTAGCTTATCCAGAAGTCCGTAGCTTTCATTCGGTCTGATCGACGCGCAACATCCGCGTGGCTCGATAGAAAAATCTCGCGTTTCTCATTCAATTATCTTCTTCACGCTCCTCGCTGCCCCGTTACTCATTCACTCATTTTGCTCGGCTATTCACCGATCGATCTTCTTGCGCTTAGCTCCTCGCAGTCGCTAAGCTATATCGATAAAATGCTCAGCGTCGTTCTGCCTCGCGGTGGCGAAAAGAGAAAGAGCCTCGTGGCAGGACGTTTCATTAGTACACAATTTTGCGCCGATTCAACGGTCGGCTTTTTATCCCGCGTATCTGATAAAAGCAATTACCAGAACGGCTGAAAACGATTTCCTTCGGTAATTCAAAGATTCATTTGTTTCCTTCGTACTACTTTACGAGGCTTCATAAAGTCGTATGAAGTATCGCGTATCATCCTCGCCTACCCGTGTGTGTGTGTGAGTGTGTGTGTATACGTATACATATAACGAGACGTTTTCGGAGGATGAATGAGTAAATGAATATCTTCGATTTATACATATTTGCACGGTTGTCTAATGACGGGATAAGAAGTACTATAAATCATACTGAATGTGTCGCAACCTTGAAAAACTTTGATTCGTTTTGAAGTTTGGATTTGGAACGTCCATCACCACGATTGTACGTTCATAGAGATACGATGATACGGTACGAAGGTACGATACGGTATGGATACGCACTTTAACGTTGTCACAATAAAGAACAAAGGATTACGTTCTACCACGTTGAATCCCTGAGAACCTTACCGAGGAAGTCGTGCGCTCGATCCAGACGTTCCTCGTGCCGGTTTTTCACCAGGAAGCTCGTCCCAGAGGAAGTCGATCCCGTCAGCATGAAACCTGGAAGAGTTATCAGTCCTCTCGCCCTCCTCCCTTTTTCCCTGCGTGGAATTCGTGAATGGCCGCGTCGTGCAGGAAATTTAACGTTCCCAACGCAGCACATACAACTATGTTGCTTCTTTCCACCGTCTGCCAATCAATGACTCGGCTGTATTAGACAATTCCGCGGAGGATATTAAATGTTGGCTGCGAGGAGGAAAGAGAGGAGGACTCGGCGGCCTGCTCGCTTCCGGAGCCGTGACTTCTGTCGGCCTCTGTAATTAGTAATTACAGGCGAACCGGGAACAGCAACAATATGGTGTCTACTCGGCAGGGGAGGGGACGAGGGCAGGGGAGAGATCGATGGGACGTCGATGACCTAACCGGGTGTAGGATTTTTAAACGCGGCCGCGGTATAGTACACGCTGTGTTACTCGCGAGCAGAGCCACGCGAGACAACCCGCTCGCTGCTGCCGGTTGCACGGCATAAGCGCGAGTGGGATCGCGTGGTTACGCGCGGTTACGTGGCAGATTGCGCGGCTGCCTGCGAAATTAACACTCGCCGAAGGGTTTTTAAGCGGTCGGTCTCCTCCGGTGTTTCTCGGTCTGAGGCTCGTTCGCGTGTTGCGGCGATTGTGCACGGAATGATCCACGGCAACGATTCCCGGTTCGGTCTGAGGCAATGGCTCAACCGTTCCGCTGCCTGTGAAGCCTGACGCTTGATCGACTGTTTGATTTTATTCAAAACAGTCGAAATCAATTTTTGTCTATATGGGATAAAGATAAAAATGATATTCAACCATTTTTATCACGGATCTTATTCTGTGTCCTGATTCTTATCACTGCGAATAAAAAGTACTGTGAATTTTACTGTGGATTAGTTTTGTTAAAGGGTAACGTCATTATAAAGATTACCGAAAGGTAGTGATACCTAATCGAATATACTGACCTACCCTTTATAGATGATATATCAGGGAAGACAAGATTTACGTCGAATATCTAGGCTCCGCACTGACTGTATTAAGGATGCAAATGGGTTATACTGATACATGTAGTAACAATGTTGGTACTCAGCGAATCGATTGTTAATAAAACGCATTTGCGATCCCTCAATTTCGATCATTACTTTTCGCTCGATCATCGAGAGTCTCGCGTCGCGGAGAATCCGCAACGTTGCACTTTTCTCGGTGGTATGCGGTTGATTACCGGTGGCGATTCACTGATTGAAATGGCTTTATCAATGATCGTTCGCCGGCCGTTCTTTATCGCGAAACTACACGGTGAGGAGTGCGCCTGGCCGCGAATCGAGCCATTACTTACTTCTCCGTGTCGTGGTCGCCTTGGAACAGATGCAAACAGTGTATAATTCAGCTCGATTGAACGTTCCAGCGTTACAATTTACGCCGTGGACGGGGAAAGGGAATCGACGAAAGAAAAATGGGAGGAAAAAAGGGGCGATAGAGAGAGAGACAGTGAAAGAGTGGAACAGACCTCGCCGCCGGTATTTACGTTATCGAATCGCGCTGGGAACCTTCCTCCACGAGCGGCACGCTCTTTTTCTTTAATTAAGTGTAGGATGTCGATGAAATTGCCGGTTGCAGCACCCGGGGGCGCAAACAGTGCAAAACAACCGGCCTAATGTTTATATTAAACTTCCGGAGTGGCCACGTGAACGTTTTGTTGTCCGCGGATAGGGAAGCTACCAGCGAATTAGCCGGTTGCAATCTAGATTACTTCGACAAAACCTTAATCGAGTCGCAAGAAGTACGTGCTCTTCGAGGAAACGTTGCGCATCGCCAAGTACTAAATGATTGTTACGTTTTAATACTTAATACGCATTCGTGCAACGTGTTACGACTCAATTTTAAAATTTTTTATCTCCGATGCTATTGATTCTTAAATAACATAGTTAACAATTTCTTCCTTCCTCAATTCCTTCGGTTATTCTGATCATTACAAGAAGTAAAATAAAATAAAAACTGTAAGAGTGTCATAACAGCAGCGATAAAACTACAGACCGTTATGATAACGCGTGTTTCATCGTTAAGTAAATTCTTAACAAGAAAAATAAGTAGAAAAGTAAGAAGTCAACAATAACAAAAAGAGGAACAATAAGTGCAGATGATACGTAGAATATAAATTGCATTTATTTATAAATTATAAATAGCTCGTGTGATGTATAAAACTGTTGCGAATATTTAAAGGCGAATACATATTTCAATGTTCGTTATCTAAAACACTTTTCGAATTCCTATCATACATGTATGACTTTATGTAAAAATCGGGATGCCAGTAGCACGTAATCGAAGCCACGCGGCAATTTAATTTATGCCGCGCGCCAAGCATAAATAAATGCGGATACAGACGCGGTAGATATAAATCGGCACACTGCGCGTCAGTGTTACCGTCTTGTGGAATTCAGTGTGTGACAGCTCGTTAGTGACAGCTCGGGATAGAGACGTCTGTATTGCACGGTCTATGGTCCAAGCGTTGCACCGAGTATCGTCATTTATCATTTTCCGCGTGCGCGAAACCGCGAATCGACAGAGTAATTTTGCTCGGTGGCTAGTAACCACCTGTTGAATCGCTCGATACTTCCTCGTGGCTGGAACTCGACGTTGCGTTGTTTCGACGTTTCGAATAGAATTTCAATGTTTTGTTCCCCGAGGAATTGCTTCAATCGTGGTTTAGAATGACAATTTTTTGTGCTGGCATTTCAAGTTATATGTTGTGAACTAGTTCTAATCTGAATCTAATCTTAACCGTGATTTTTTACAGAATTGTTACAAGCGTAATAATTCTTTTATTATACAATCATTTTCTTCCACCAATCGTATATTTCAATCATATTTTTAAATAAATTCGAATATTAAAAGAATCAGTTTAAATCGTGCGGTGTGACAACTTGTACTTCGACTCTGCGAGCGTTCATGCATTTTCCGCGTTGAAAATGATGCGAAGTTGGGACAAGCAGCGAGAGTATAGTAACGGGTCTCTGTGATGACGTTTAAAATGCTCGCGTGTAAAAAAGGAAATGATCGCGTGTGACAAACGACGTCGCGCCGCGCGTTTCGATCGGATCAAGCGGAAATATCGCTTTCAGCGCTCGTCTTGCTCTTCTTTCCGATGCCACGGATAGTTAAGGCGGCTATGTCGCTGTCGATGGCAAACGAATATTCATTTAATTAATCCTTCCTGCTGGATACTAGCCGCAGAAGTGTCCTTAACATCCGGATCTTTGATCTCGGCCGGTCTCGGCGATGGTGTTGGTCGAAGTCTTAACATCTTAAACCAATCATATTTTTCAACTTCGAAGAATGTTGCTAGGTTGGTTTCGACGACGCTATGATTAGCCTGACGCAAAATCTAATATTCATATTTTAAAAAATCTTATCAAACTAGTTGCATTATTTCTGTAGTTTTTCAATCTTCCCATAAGCAAACTGGCTTTTTATGCAAAACAATATCGATTTGATAAATTAAATTAATATTTATATTATCCGGTCAAATTGATAATGGGAATTATACTTTTTATGCTTTGAACATTTTCAGACAGTATACGCTTTATGTTATACTGTTTTGTTGATCCTGGAGGCAGAGGGGAATGAATGCAACAGGGAAATCTCTTGTTAACATGCTCAGTAACGGAAAGGAAGGGCTGTTAATAAAAGAGGGTCGTTATCTTTGGTGTAGTGGTAGGGGCCCTGCAGTAGAGCACGATAAAAAACTGTTTCAACAGTAATATTCTATGATACTGTTTTTTCTATAAGTACATGAAATTGTACTGAGTGTCCCATTTATATTTCATGATTTCATTCTACGTGTTCTGTAGTAATGTAAAACGTTCTTTTATGTAAAAATTGATTGTCTGTCTGGTCTGTTATTTGGAATCGTTATTGTAGATGTAATGATTTTAAAGGACTGCCGGTTGCAATTGAATGTTTGTCACGAAGATATGATTTTTTATCTCTTATTTATCGTTGCGCAACGATAGATAGTTAGTAGTTCCTTCGGATTAAGAGATTATGGTTAAACGTAGTTCGTTTGATCTTGAGAAAAATGAGACACGGTTACGCAGTCGCGAGATCTGCGATAACAATTAACCTTGTTGTGCCACATAGAGAATATTGAGAAGGTAAAATAAACGATATGTACAAATATTTTCTCCTAGTTAAAATCGGTATATTATAAAGAATGAGGTAGTCAGTTAAAGCCTTTCTCTCGTCAGTGATGAATAACATCGATAAGAGAGAAAGTTAATTAATATCTATTGGGAATTGAGTTGGCCATCGACGGTTCGCGTTGAATTCGCGGGGAACAACGCCACGCGTGATAACAGGAAGTTTTATTGTTCACTATCGGGGGAAACGGTGAACGAGAAACACGATTTCCTTTAAGCCGCGGACTCGAGAGCAACGGAGGGCTGTTAATATATCCAGGGAACGAGCTACATGACAAACAGGTTTCTCTCCGTGGCGTTGTACACTGTTAGGCAGCCACTGAACCAGTGCCAAGTCTCTCTGGCAGGTGATAACGCGAGGCCGAACAGATTTTATCAGAATCGAATCCATCGCGAATTTACACTAATATTATTTAACAATTACCTCTTCCTGACCTATCCTTTGAAATAGAACAAAAATGAAATATAAAATGGTACGAAATATGAATGAATAAAAAATAATGATTTTTAGAGAATTGATCATAAAAGAATATTTTCATGGTAAAATAGTTTAGGTATAGATTATGCAACTTCGAGGTCGACTAGCATCGATAATATTCATCAGAAAATATCTGCAAGATTTATATTCTATTCCAATTTTCTCCGATTTATAGGTCACAATGTCAAGGCCATGTTACGCGGCTCGAGCACCGGGAGAGGGATGGTTCGCGTTTATCGGAGGATGAAACGGAATTACTATTCTAATTGGCAGCATGAATAACCATCCGTCGGTCGGTTGACCGGCTAGGAGGACGAACGGCGGAGGCCTCGGCGCGACGCGGCGTGGATCACGTGAGTACGAAAGAAAATTGCAAACACGATTAACCGCAATTACGGTAATGACGACGCTAAAGATCAGATATAGCCAGGGAACGGCTTTAACGCACACCCACACGCACCGCGGCGTATGAGCAACCGCGTGCCGGCCGGTAGTTGAAAAACACGTAGACCGTAACGATATCGAAATCGAAGGGGGACTCGGCTGCAGATGCCGAGTACATAAATACTTGCGGTGGTCCTGACAGCAGCCTAAACGCGTGTATCGTAGCCTCGTATCGTATCGCTGTTGCAAGTAATTCTCATTCCACATAAAATGGTATGAAATATGAATGAATAAAAAATAATGATTTTTAGAGAATTGATCATAAAAGAATATTTTCAAGGTAAAATAGTTTAGGTATAGATTATGCAACTTCGAGGTCGACTAGCATCGATAATATTCATCAGAAAATATCTGCAAGATTTATATTCTATTCCAATTTTCTCCGATTTATAGGTCACAATGTCAAGGCCATGTTACGCGGCTCGAGCACCGGGAGAGGGATGGTTCGCGTTTATCGGAGGATGAAACGGAATTACTATTCTAATTGGCAGCATGAATAACCATCCGTCGGTCGGTTGACCGGCTAGGAGGACGAACGGCGGAGGCCTCGGCGCGACGCGGCGTGGATCACGTGAGTACGAAAGAAAATTGCAAACACGATTAACCGCAATTACGGTAATGACGACGCTAAAGATCAGATATAGCCAGGGAACGGCTTTAACGCACACCCACACGCACCGCGGCGTATGAGCAACCGCGTGCCGGCCGGTAGTTGAAAAACACGTAGACCGTAACGATATCGAAATCGAAGGGGGACTCGGCTGCAGATGCCGAGTACATAAATACTTGCGGTGGTCCTGACAGCAGCCTAAACGCGTGTATCGTAGCCTCGTATCGTATCGCTGTTGCAAGTAATTCTCATTCCACAGGATCAGTCAATAAGAATTATCATTTAAAATGATTCCGTTAAAAATCTTTATAGCAACGAAATGCGATTTATTAAAATGCAAGAATGAATTAATTTTGTAAAGCACCATTAAATACAAAATTCTTGTACGTCTTCTGATCCATCCGGATTTCTCATTGTCGTCTAAAAAGCGTCACGTAAAATATTACAATAATATTGTTTATGGAGAAGGTTGTTCCGTAAGGGAGAGAGTTCACTGGCTTTTATACCGTTCACTGTGTTTACACGCAGGCACGAAAATTGTGGGGAAAATGATGTGGTAGGCGGTCTGACTGACCGAGGCCAGGTCGTGTCACGGGGGAGCCGGCATCCACGCCCCCATAACGATCGAAATTCATTTCCATAATTATCTCACGAGCGCGGATCGTTCGGAGGCTGCAGCGTATAGCAGGGAAACACGTTCGGCCTGATTTCGAGAGCTGTAACCGGAGACGCGCGGTTGTTCTCTGTTCGCGGACCGCGGACGGAAGTTCGAGGTTAAATTCTGCGAGTCTACCGTCTCGTTATCGTGCTTGCTAATAAGCACGCAGCTATTTTCTCATTCGTTGCTCTTTCATTATTCGGCTGCAGATTTGTATGCAAAATAGAACGTTTCTGGTGTCGGTTTAAAAAATTTAAATGGTAACTTCTATCATTTTGTGTTATGCTTGCAGCTTTTGATGTTTCATATATTTTGCGTACGTGCCGTCTTTACGCACATTCAATCTTTTCGTGAATGCATCAAATTCGTACTTTACTTGTTACTACATACGCAGGTATTTTAATGATTCTGTTCTACCGGACCAAAACTGACGTCCTCGATATTTTAAATTTCACTTTTTTCTAATACTTCCTCCAGTATAATAATTTGATAGAAATATTTACGTTCCTGAAATATGAACAATTGTTCAGGTATACATTCGCAAGTTTTTAAGATTCGACCAATACTTTTGCTTCGTTCGTAGATCAGCGTTTCGGATGAGCATTCGCTCGGCTCAAGAGTTCGTTTCGTGTTAAACGATGTTCGCGTAATCGACGTATATCCATCGGAACGTAAATTCTTCCCGTGATGGATCGTTAATAAAGCTTAGGCGCGCGCGGTATCGATGCAAAATAAATAAGGCACATTAAAACCGAGTGAGAAAGCAAAGCGAGGATGGGGGCCAATTAAAGCATCGTGGCTAAGGACAAAAAATGCGATTCTCATTAAGGAAGCCGGTTTCGACGAACTCGGAGAGGATTTCGCTTGCGCAGTCTGATATATTCGCGGAACGTGTCTTACATCCCAACGCTTTTCCACCTTGTCGCCGTTCGTTCCTGCTCGTTTTAATTGTGAAAGCGGGAGAGCGTGAACCGAAAACGGCTGGTATGCAACGCGACGGAATCCTAGCGTTCATTCGTTATTCCCATGGCGGAAAAACCTCGCGAGGATTTACGTGAACACCCGCGCGGCGCGTTGGTGCCCCTTCTGTGCGTGATCAATGCCCCGCGTACATTTACATATCCGCCAGCCCTCATGATTGCAAATGTACTGTTTAGCGTGTTCCCCGTCTGGATCCTTCCTCGTGTCTCCTTCATTTTTTTTTTTTCTTCTCTCTTTCTATCCGGGATCGGTCCGCGAACGCCGCGCGGAAAGTCCGTATCATCAGCCGTAATGTCGCTTTTTCATAACGGACCGGTAACACGACCTTAAATCCTCGTTTCTTCGATCCGCACGGTCGTGCACATTAAATTCAGCGAGGACGCGAGATTACTTATAATTAAACCTCCTGGGCAACGCTCGGCCTGCTCTCGTCGGCTAACTCATTCGCGTATGCGTGTCTAAAGCTTCTCGAAAACGGCGGACGATTTATTTTTTTAACTTCTCCCGTAGACTGGTTGTTTGCAGTACATTACGCACAGCCCGCAGTAACGTATGTACGTGTATATGCGTGACTCGTACTTACGTATGTACCTCGTTACGCGACAAATTAATGCGGGGGTGTGTAATAATTATCAGATCCGGTTGGTCTCGTTGCGATACGAACGGTCTTCGTATTATTGCACTACAAATTGAAGCCCGTACAACTATATCGAACGAAATAATTACTCGCAGTTTGCACTGGTTCTTCCACAGACTTTTTATTCAAATGTTATTATATTATCTTTCATTCTTCTGTCTTTTTTTATAAATGCATAAAAATTTGTAATCTATGGTTCGCCTGGTGGAAAATCATTGATCCTTATCTGCGTTTTTAACGTAGACTTCGGGACGAGAAAAATGGCATCGGTACACGTTTGCTCGGGTAAAAATTTTCTGGGTCTGACCCCTAAGAGGGCGATTCTACTAGCGCAGCAGAGAAACATCTCTTAATTGTATCTACAGTAATTAATCTTCCAAGTTCATATTGATTTATGATTCGCGGTTGAACTCGTTAGTTGATTTATGGTCGAATCCCGAATTGATGATCGAGTTTATGAATTCATTAGTCGAAATTCTTAAGTCGGCATCGGGCGTTCGTACGATACGCATAATCCGTTTCGTCTTCTCGCATTTTCTTTGCATACTTTTTTTTCTCGCATCGTGAGGATTGAGAGATTTGATTATCGTTTTCTCACCCCCGCCAGAACGAATTCCGCGAACGCGACCATAATACACGCTCACGTGAGGTACAGCCGAGTTCTTCATTATCGTCAGGGGCCTAAATTGCGTGGGCGTACCTATACCTTCGTACACGTTACTTACCTTGATGTACTGTACCTAGCGTGTATATGGCCGCACGCACACGGGCGCACAGGGACACGCGGCGAAGCACGTAAGCACGGTACACGCTTGCACGCTCGTGGGCACAGGTTCGCGAGGCGAGAAGCGCCGAAGTTGCGCGAAGCTGGCCGAGCGCCGCGAAGCCGGTTGTCGCGCTCCTCGCCAGATGCGACGTCGAGTCAGTATCGCGTCAGTCCTCAAGTGGAATTGGTCAGTGATCTGTGTCAGAGCAGGGCCAGTTGTTAACCCGTCTACTTCATCTTTTTCTCGCCGCGGTTTTCCCGGTCAACCATTTCTGTCCGTATCGGTTTTCACGGTCTCGCCGAGGGACGCAACGGTCACTTTACTCGCGCGGTGATATTCGCTCGGCTCGACTCGGCTCCGCTCCGCTCGCGAACGTCCGCCCGGTATCCGCCTATACCCCCTTAGAGTTAGATATATAACACATACATACGTGTACCGCGTACGTACCCTATAGTACAATAATACAGTGAAACACAGTGGAGTTACCAGTGGGAAAAACAAAAAATTGTTTGCAAGCGGACGTGCCTCACGGCGATCGTCGTTCACCACGTTCTGGATCGGAGCAACGGCGGCAGGTGAGTGGAGAGTTTTTAGTTGGATATTGTTTTCGTGGCGACCTGTTCTGCTCGCCGGACCCGCCGGGTCCCGCAGGGCCCTGGTTTCCAGTTGGTCCCGATTTCTCGGAATTTTTCGCGATTAACCCCCTAGGCGACTGTAGCAACTCCGTTCAGAGCTTGACTATACGAAAGAAAGTAGAAAGTTTTACTTCAAATCTATTTAGTTATTAGCATTCTATCCTGTTTCAATTTAAATATTAAGTACATCCGGACGGAAACTGATCTGAAGTCAGCTGAAAAGCTGTGTTACAGTGCAACAGAAATTGTAACTAATATTGTAAGGCTAGCTCTGATTTAATCCTGGTACTTGAGTATGAATCAAAATACTCTTTACTAAAAGATGAACATATACGAATGCTTTCTGTTGCAATAATACAGCGAACATTGTCATATTTTAATACAACATAGTACCAGAGAATATTAAACCATTAAATAGATTTTGATCAATGCAGCAATATGATGTTAAATAAGAACACTTGAGAAATTAAAATAGGATAACTATTTCATACATTATGTTGTATTTTGAACAATCATTGAATATCATTCATTTATTATTTTATTACATTCGGTGAAAGATTTGCCAAGGTTATTACGTACATGTATGTACGTGTTTACGTGATTTCGAGGGTCATGCATCCTTCGAGAGCCCCTCACCCACGAAATATACTACGCACTCTATTTGTTTATGATACAGGAAAAAGTTGTTGAATTACGTCGCGAATCGTATGTCGCCCTTCATTTCCAGTTTTTTTTGTCTTTTCCTTTGTCCTTTACTAGTAATTCTAGTGAGAAATTGCGTTCATCGATATTCAAAATTTTTATTACACATTGAAGTATCTGTTTTTTCTAACATTTTATCAGATATTTGTGTCTGTTTTATTTGTTATCATATAATATTCGCAATTTTATTTTTACCGACACCTGTTTTCTATAATTTCATCTAACTTACGCCATGAAAATGTTCAATTCGTTCGAATGACGAATGTCCCGTTAGATGAATTAAAAATAAGATAATTGTACTAAGTCGTACAGCATGACGGACTATGTTTGTTTTTTTAAATCTACGAGGTCGACGCGTTACGCACAACCCTTCTTTTTTGCGATCCCTTCCGATATTAGAACATCGTAATTACGCGTTACTATTATTAACTGTTAATACGCGGCCTGGGCCCGAACTGGTTTGCAAATCCGGATTCTCGTAACGTTGCCTGGTGCACACACCGCACCGCTCGGAGCATGTCTCCGCCACGAATGAAACCGTGTAGCGTACTTACCTACTCAAAACGCTATCTGACTTAATATCTAGATCCGAAAGCCAACGTCGGGCGTACGCTCGAGCGGCAAGCTTCACGCGAACATTCGGCGCGATCTCAGAAATGGACACGCACATAAGATTATTCAATGCGCAGTTAGTAAAAAATAGCATTCTGTTGCAAACTATTTTTTTCAATTCTTTTTTACAATTTTACATGCCAGAGGGTTGAAGTAGCTCTTCTACTTTATTTTACTTCCACGTTTGAAATAAATTCGATCTTCACGCTTTTCGCAAAGAATTGCTCGGTCTAATAGAAGTTCACATATTTATCAATGGTAGAGTAGCTGGCTGTTGGATTTAAACTTTCGAGAGGCGAATGCAGTAACGTATTTTCCACATCCGGAGCGGACAATGGCCCGCGAGTCGCACGAGTGGCGAGCAGCACGGCGACGGCGGCGCGCGGCGTCGAGGTTAAAATCGAATGTGTGTCACGTTCACCGGCCGCGTCGATTAGTAATCGGAGCGCGCGAACGGCAATTACACTTGAAAAAGTCAATGTTACGTTGGAAGGTTTCGGGTACGGGTTGCGCAACACCATGTTCCGGGTTACATCCGTGATCTGTTGGTTTTCACAGGCCCGTGAACCATTCGTATTCCGTATTTGTAATCAGCTCTTTGTCCGTACGGGGGATTAAACGCGTGAATAGTGCTTTTGCACCAGTGACTGTTCGGAGAAATTTTATCAGTCATCAGATCGTTTCAGATAGCTTTGTACACTTTTCTCAACCTTCATCATTATCGTCATCATTTATGCGTCATCATTTTTACAATAGTCATAGTATGCTTTAAACAACGTTCAGGGTATCACAAAATAATTAATAGGGTACGTCATTATTGTCGTTCAGTCGTTATCATGTTTTATCTGCGCCTGTTATCAACGCGTATGGCTGCTGCGCCAATTAACTTTCAATCACGAAATCGTAAAAATTATTTCCTCATGTCGTTATCGTACGGACACGTCACTATTAATGTACGGAGAAGATGCACACCGATCGCTCACGGCTTTCTAATAGTTTTCGAGGATATTCATCGAAACGTTTACTGTTTTCACCCCCGTAACGTAAATGTCAGCAGATACGACGAGATATACCTCAGGGGTACCATAAACGCGGAAAGTTTCATTAGAATCCACGATTGTCAATCGTCCGACGTTCCCTGTAATGATAGTGATCACTTGCCGTGCCACGGGAACCTTAAATGTCACCAGGCGAATAGGTGCCTCGCGAGGCTCGCTCCTGATCCCGGCATTAAGCATCATACGCGTAATTTACTGACGTTATTTACTATACAATTAGACGTACGCTTGTCTACTTGTGTTATATTTCTGTAACGTATCAACTGTTGCATCATGCTGCATAAATCATATAAAAATCATTTAGTACATTTCGCTTAAAATGTATACAAATATTAATGTAAGCTTCACTTCTTCGACTGATTTTCAAACAATTATAGGAAATCTGTTAATATTTAATGAAACTAAGTTTCATTGAACTAAACTTTCATGAAACTAAGTTTCATTAAATATTAACAGATTTCCTATAATTGGTAATTAAGAAAAAATAAGGCACAGATCTATTAATATCTTCGAGTCTCATCCCATTAAAAAAATTAACTAAAATCAGAAATAGATGAAGAATCATTATCCACAGTTGTGCAGATAGTCCTAAAGTATTGAAATTTGGCATAACAGAAGTTCCTTCGACCATTCATTGAAATATGACAAACATTAGTCAAGAAGAATTAATTATTTTTCTTCATTTGTTGGAGCTTATTGAATCGATGCATTCTTGCATTTTAACAAATCGTATTTCGTTCTCATAAAGTGTTTTAATGAAATCAGTAAACGTTATCCTTATAAATGATAAGACTCAAGCAACTGTGATACGCAGGATGATGCAAGTAGATACGCTTTACGCGCTCGGTCCCGCTCGCGCATGGTAATGGTCCCGGGAGTCCCATCAGCACTGCGACGCGCGGGCCAATGGAGAGGGAAAGAGAAATCTCTTAGTTTTTCTGAGGACGCTGGCCAGGGCATAATATACGATACATACGGTGTAACGAGGTATGTAATGGGTAATAATGTGTAATGATATAATGCGTACATTCCGCGCCGTACGTTTGCTATAACAAACATTGTTAGCGGGGACGGCGAACGCGGCGCGGGTTCCCTGACCGTAAAAGGGGCCCCGTGGTCCTTCCACGAGGATTCCGCGAACGGCCTTTGACGATCCGCTTGTCGTAATACTCGTACGCCTCTGGAGGAGAACACGCTTCTGCTTCAACTTACCCTTCCGTGCTCGCGCTCGTGCTCGCTTCGATCTCCAATTCCGGGTACAAATAGGACGATCGGTCGTTGCGTCGTCCCCAGTTTGTACCTCGGCTCGCACGGCTCGATTGCCAACTGATACGCGAATTCAGTATGGATTTAATGGAGGAGAACGTTTGCGAAATATCCGTGCGATGTTTTCAACGCTTTCAGCTTTTTCAAAGCAATTAGTACTGTAACGAAATTCATTTTTGTTGTACGCTCGCACGGGTGTAATTGCTGATAATATACGTGATAATGCGATCTGACTCGTTAGGAAAGAGAAGCACAGGTTGCTATGATGCTCGTTCATAAAAAACGAAATGAACTGTCGTCACTTTTGTTATATGTATTTTACAATCTTAGCGAGAAATAGCAGTAGTCGCTATTTAATTCCGTCACGCAAGACTACCTGCTTATTTGGAACGAAAGCACAAGTGATAGGTTGCAAGATCATCAGTTAACGTCGTGACGACGAGAAAAGCACGCGATAATTAAACATTTCCACAGTGGTCCGATGCATCGGCCGAGATAAAGCCGTCCTCCGGTAAAGACAGTAAAGTTCAGGCCGCGGACGACGCGACGGTTTCACGGCTCTCCACGCCGATTTATCTGACTCTATCTGAATCTCCGTCGATCCTTCCTTTTGTCCATCCGGACCATACATCGTCGCCCGATTATTCTTTTCCCTCGCGGTACGGCCTCCGGGTACACGTCTCAATAGCCGCGTATACACCGCTGCTTAACACCGGATGATTTGAATGCGTGCAAGGACGCGGTCGCCGATCCAACGGCGAGCCCTGCCCGCTTGAAATGGCTGCCGGTCAGTCTCGTTTATTTTCCTTGATTCTTATCGGGCCCTGTCGTTTGATCACACTGGACTAACGCCTGGAGACAGTTTCATCTTCGATATCTCCGATTGTCAGCGAAATTCACCAGTCTGTCTTTTTATCTATTCACTGTTGAGAAACATTGGTAGAATGTGTCGTATGAAATGCTACATTTCTCCTATAATGATTGATGCAAAAATCGTGGCGAATTAGGCAACGGAGGCAACTCCAAGTTGGAATAGTAGATTATTTTTTATTACATTACACGTACGATGGGTTAGTACATTACACGTATTATTGGGAAGGTAATTAAGGGGTGGAAGACAGTTTTTACTCCAATTAGACACCCTCCGATGTCGAAACGATTTTTTTTGTCACGGGATGCTGTTCTAATTCGACGGCTCGTTCGAGGAATTCAGAGATCCCTCCGGATCATCGAACTGTGACCAGTACTTACCGACTTTCCACGCTAGAGTAATCCCCGCGCGGCGCACGAATAAATCGAGCA